ATGGAGCGCGACCACTGTGCGACTAACGACAGCGGCGAATTTCGCGGATTCCGCCTGTCAATAAAATCGCTGCCACGCTTCGATGGACATTTCACGGCGAGGACCGCCGCGGGCCGTGTATATATTTAGCGCCGGAACTTTCATCGGGTGTGAAAATAGTACGGAACGCACAAAGTTACGGCGGTCGCGCAACGTTTCCATCGTGAGCTAACTCGCTTTTTCAAGCATCCGGTGATGAATCCGAGGAAGACCTCAGTGTCGAATCGAAACTCACGTTTCTGTGATCAAACAGTGTGAAGTGCTACCAGATGCGTGTGTCTTGGCGTGGAATGCAGACGATATGGCAACCCGGCCACAATTTGGATACCGATATACCGAGAAAGCATTCTAACTATGCTCGATAATTATGCCTCAAACCTTAGACAAAGGCGGTCAATTTTGTTATAATACAAATTTATGATTTTTTATCTTGTCAAATTCTTCAAGTCTCCAAATTTGTAAAACAATTTTGTAATTTTGTGACAATTTTTTCGGTATTTTCTTCGGTCATATCTCTAAAATTAATAGCGCGTAAAAATCATCTCAATTTTTAATTAAATTTACTCGAAATAATTTCATAATAATTTAGTTTTCTATTTAAGTTTTTAACGATTTCTTCGTCAAGCATCTTAGATATGAAATATCTTCTTAATTTGCTTAGCCAAAAATTTTCCTAAAAAGATATCTTTATTTTTAAGAACAGTTTTAATCGAGAAATTAAATTAATTAAATTAATTAAATGAAAAACTCATTGAATTCTCTTGTTTATTAAAGCTATAATTTTTCTACTAAAAATAAATTTCCTAAAATTTCCGGACTTTCAGAACAGCAGCAATCTTGTAATTCAATTTATCCTTAATTCTATAAAACCATGGTTGACAGATGATAAAAAAAAAAGTTGAACGATGATAAAAAGTTAGGTCGAGCTTTAACTGCTCATTGCGAAAAAGTTACGCCACTGACTTAAAAACGGGGAAAACTTGGTCACTGACAATTACAAATGTTTTTAAATATCTTCACGAGTTACTAATGCGTTACGTCAACATGTGATGGATGACGGATACCAAACGTCGCTCGAAAGCGTGCGCGCGCGCGCGCGCGCGCAAAGTTTGACGGATTTGGCGTCCGAAAATTATAAAACACTTTTCCAAGAAGAAACAGCTGCTACAAAATATCGTTCTGTCCTCTTAATCTTTCTTCTACGCTTTTTTTTCCCTGGAAAAATTAGAGTCTATATTGAGCGCGCCTAAATCTTCTCTAATAACAAGATAACAAGATAAGTAGAAAATTCGAAGAAAATTTGTATCTTAAACATTAAAACACTTTGTCTACAATTATTCTTTCACGGATATTAAAGTTTCTCAAATCAGATTCCAAAAAGCTCGTACAAACATACAAAGCTCGCGACAAAATTAACTTATCATCAACAATCAACTTGAATCAGCCGAAGATAATTCTGCTGCATATTTCAAAATAATTGTAACCCTCCGAATTCTTCCATAATTGCTTAAATCAATTGCTGTTCTCCAATCGATCCTAGGATCTCCTCGAGACGCCAATCGCGCGACAGGCCACACGCAATTATGTATACCTACGGCTCGTGATCGATCAACGAAGCGTGCGAACAATCGAAACGAGCCGCATGACAGCGCGAGACGCGCACGCGAGTCGCGTGTAAAGCCGCTTTGCAAACTGCGGCCTAACGCCGCGTTGCCCGTGATAGCGACGACTGGCGACGACTTCCACCGGGGGACGGAACGAAAGCCACCGACGACGGCGACGGCGGCGGCGCCGCGGCGCAAGCGTCCCGTGCGGCCCGCTCTGTTCCTCGCATTTTTCCGCGAACCGACCAAAATCACCTGCGTCCGACGTGCAGCATTCGACGCGTTTTCGCGCTTGCATACTGATGACCACAAAACCTGATTAATTCATAAACCGCGGGATCAATTTCGATAATGGTGTATGCACGGCGCACGCTGAATGGTTTCAGTGTATTTTACGCTTCAAGGAAGAATTTTGTTTACGCATCCACCATCTGGATGCATACTCATAATCAATATTTATCCTATAAACATATTTCTTCTGTAAACAAAACAAAAAAAAAGAAAAAAAACAGAAAATACTTAATAGAAAAAGTAAATTTAATCAAAATAATTTTTAATTTTATTTTGCCGACGCTCTGTACGCAGAGAAGTTATTTTGAATGCAATTAAATTTACGAGATCTCGTACAGTTTTGAAAGACAATATTCAGGACTCATGAGGCTATATAATAATTTGCGTATCGAGAGAATTTATAGAATTGCATTTCTATGCTGACAAGATGTTTTTCGTCACGTTTCGAATATCGATTTGTTCTTGACAACATCCGAAGGTTGTAGGATGCTGCTCCAGTTTTCTCGGCAAGGATTAATCCGATATTGCTGCTATGCGCTTTCAAACTGTCATTTGTTTCTGTTCCTCCTATTCACATACTGCTTATCGCGTCGGCGACTTTCTAAGCAGTGCAACGCCAACTAAAAGCTATTTTGTTTAGCAAAGTTACAATAAAATGCAGCAAATATTTTTTATTTGCCAGTGTTCTTGTTGCTTTTCAAAGCTCGATAATATCAAAAGAAGCATTATTCTCGTTTTCGGGAATTGCGTTGTTAAAAAAGTATAAGCTATTAAATAATTAAAAACTCGATGATGAACAATTGATTAAAAGTGAAAAAAATTAATCTACTCATATAAATATCACTTTGTTTTTCAAAAAAAAGTAATTTCAAAAGCAATCCTCATACCTGATCTTTGGCGATTTCAACAAAATTCCGTATTATTACGTATAATTGTTCGATTATAAAATCGATTATAAAATCCTTACTGTGACCGTTAAGGAAAATATGGCGCAAACTTTTATTTATACACCGGATAATAAATAGATCCCTCTTGCGACGCCATATAGGGGAAGTAATTTTCTAGTTCACGGCGGCAGAGGTATTGCTGATTTTCCACTCTGTCGCGAGTCATCACAGAGTCGCTTCTTTTCATCTACTATATTTCTATCGCGAGATTTATTCGATTAGATCGCTGCGCCGATTAGATTGCCGCGGGCGAGAAGGAAAGTGCATCGCCGGCGCATCCATAGACGCATTCTAGCCTTGGGCGTGCCTATACCGGAAGTCATAATCACGTCGCGCCACGGGATCGTGCCGCGAGAAAGCAATTAGTCCACGTCGATAATTAATTAAACTTTCGCGATCGAATTCGACACAATACGACCGCGTGCACTTCAGATAGGGGGGGAGGGGAGGGGGCGATAGAACTTTCATATAAAGCGCGACAGAAGACAAGGTTGAAAGCTAAATCTCTCGACATTTATCATTATTTTTATCTCGCTACAGAGAAGTTAATTAAACTTTCTTCTTTCTTTTATATCCCACATAAATCTCTCGTCTTAAATCACCATATTTTTATCAATTTTACAGTACAGTAAATATGACAAATATAAATCTGATTATTCGATGCTACGCTATTTTGTTACCAAAAATTCGATTTTGGTGAAATAAAATGATATTAAGTATGCAATAAAGTGAATGAATATTTATTAAAATAATTAATTTTCGCATCGCGTTTACGCATATCTATACAATGACGTGTAATTTCGAGGTAATTTCCTCAAAATAGCGTAACCAAATAAATCTCGTAATGCCTGCGAACATTGCGTGAAAATTACAACACCCGCGGGTGTCTTCAATTAATTTCGTGCTGCGTAATAGCGTGCACGATATTACACGCGCGTTAAGCCCAGCCGGAGATACCGTGCATCCCCGCGTAATGAACCTTCAGACACCGCATTACTGTATCACCGCGGTCGAAGGGCGAAAATTCCGCCGTTTGCAACGCGCCGCCGCAAATTGCATTCGATCGCGTTGCTCCCTCTGCGAGGGAAATTAATTACGTGCTAAACTCGTTATCGGACACTCGGCCGATATTGTTCGAAGAGATCGATATAGATCGTGCGGTTCGGCATTTCGTTCGCGCGATCAAAGATGTCAATATTCATTATCGTCCGCATCGAGCTTGTTTGCATCCCAATGCGGGGAACGTAAATTAATGGCAGATTGGCATCGTAAGCTGACAAGCACGGCTATAAATGTAATCAGACGCGGATCAAAAGAAATGCTGGACCCGCCATATATAATGCACGTATTGTATGCGCCACAGAATAACCGCTTTTCGTTTGAGTGATAGAACTTTTCAATTTGATATAAATGTTATCAATTTGATATAAATGTTATCTCAATATTTAGCTTCGTTTAATTTCTAGCTTGAAAATAAACATACTGTTTTATAATTACAATGGTAAATCCATGTAAATGCAATTGTCGATTGTTACATTATTTAATAACTTAATTAAACATTTTTAAATCATTAAATTCATTCCCATTTTGTTTGTAGCTATTTTCTCTTTAATCGAGATACAAATATCATCACAATTCACGTTGCAGCGTGCAACTCATATTATTTTCATGTTTCAATTAACGCGCGAGAAATTAACAAATTGAAAGAGCAACTCGCACGCAGATGGATTGCAAGATGCCTTTTGCCGAGTCGACCCACGCGAGGATCCAAAAGCGTGGGTTGTCGAAATCGCCTTCAAATTGTACAATTTTTTTTTTTTAAAGGTCGACTATCGATATTCATTAGAATATGCGCGTAAATATCACACTATAGAACTAAAAATAAATTCAGAATTTCAACTAAATTTAATCCATTTTAAATTAAAAATATTCTCTGACGGCATTTGAACCAAATGATTTATAGAGGTTTTTATGAAATAATACGTCAACTTCAAACATACACCATTAAAAATTTACCATGTTCGGGAAATAGTTGTGAGATACGCGATATTGTTGAACGATTTCAACTTTAATGGCTCGCGATCAAGTGAAACAGTTACTCCCCTCAGAGAGGACTTACCTGATAGTTGTCGTTCCGATTGCGAGCGCGGTTGCTGCTGCAAGCTCTGAAAGCAACAGAGAACGTATCATTGGTTTGAGAAGCGGCGGTGCTCTCGCGTGCTTGCGGGTGGATGCATGCAAAGGGTCGAAAGAGCGCTTTTAGCACGAACGAACGCGCTTACTGCAGTCAGGTGCACCGCGGTATTTCTCAAACTACCGCGGTAAAAGCATCGCTCGAAATGAATTGGTTCTCTCGTTTGACAACCAGTTAGTAAACTAGTAAAGCCTGTTTCATCGCGGCATGAGATAAGAACTGCTGTATACGTTATTTGAAATGTCTCAAGTTTGCAAGTGAATTCTCGATACATTACGATATGTACACATAGATTACAGCACTTAATTATTAATTTAATCCTTTAATTTGATAATATAATTTTATGTCGTTACATTATAAGAAGGACGGGTTTTTCTTCATTTTGTTAAGTCTTGTCTTGACGAGTCTTTTATCGAGCAAACTTTTATTGCTTGATAATGTTCGGCGACACAAAGGACGATCGTTATCCTTCACTGTCGAAGAATTCGAACTTCGTCTCATTCGTCATGGCAACGAGAGATAGCTAATAATCGCCGCGGTCGAACCATGACCCACTTGTAGTATTGAGCTCGTCGACTTCGAAAACAATGAAGGAACAACCATGACCTTATCTACGTCACGCCCCACTGAGCGAACGCACCGTCAATCGATATTCTACCAATATTCACGAAAAAATGGAAAGTAATTAACCGTACAATATACACGCGATTCACCGATTCTCGCCTCGAAAAAAAAAGCATCGCCAAATCAATTATTTCCCTTTATACAGAATCACTAAGTGTAAAACTAAAATATAAAAGAAGTTACGTAAGATTTAAATTGACGGAGCGGCAACATTAAATATGACATTGTTGTAAAACCTTCAAGAATGCTTTTTATATTTAATTCGTCCTTTAATCATTCCATTACCATTTTTCAAGGCTCTCTTTGTTAATAAAACTATCATTAAAATATGATTCTCAATAGAAGTAATACAAATAAAGCGTGACCAGAATAAAAGCAATATCACGAAGTAAATCGTGACTGAAAAAACAGTCTCATGATTTGCGCGATCATAAAAATCGTAGGATATCTCCAGGTATCGAGGCCGTATTTAAAAATCGTAGACCACCACCCGTCAAATATTTTTCCAGCAAAACTGAATAGGCGTGGCAATCTTTTTTTACGGCTTACTAGATTTCAAAGCAAATCCCGCGAAACTCTCAAACAAAAGTTATATCGTTTCTCAGGATTTCGTTTACTTTGCCGAATCACTACGTTTATTGTCTACAAATAAGATATAAAACAATGTGACGCGGACAGATACGCAGATACTTTTGCCGAAAATTTCTTCCTCGTATTCACGAACGAATGTATCTCTTTTGAATTGCTACATTCCGAGAAACATATTTTACAAAAGAGGCGCAAACGCTGGCTGTGTTAGTCTCGGCAGTTTGAGAAGTATCTCTATTCTGTATTTTATCCTGTAATATTTTCAATAATAATAAAAATAAGAATAAAAAATAATTTAACAAGCATATTTTTCAACATTATTTTTTAACCTTTTATATTTTTAAGAATATAGCTTTATTAAAAAAAAATAAAATTTTTTAATAATATTTATTAATATTTATGAATAAAAACATGTTTATAAAATTTTACAGAATTAAAACAAAAACTCGGCTTTTGTAGTGTTCCAATTAAATTAAAAAAAAATTACGTATTTAAAATATTAAAGGATATTATAATGCATTTAATGCTGTTTGCCTGCTAAAATTTCCAATCTAAAGATCTAACTTTAAACTTCAAATGTAAATCTGTAATCTTTACGAATCCAATGAACAGGCAACATTTAAAATTTCATTGCTCAAGAGATACGAAAGTTTCCGGCTCGATGTTTAGATCGTTACGGGCGTTGATTCGGAAAGGAATAATTGAGCGACAATTGAGAGACGCGCATTTAAAGCTGACCGGGAGCCCAAGTTTTCTACGGTGGCCTTCGTGCACGCGTACGTGATAGACCACACAGTGTGGCTATATTCGAGGTCCGAGGGATGCCAACCGATTAATACGCACTACGGCTGGCTGCCCCATTAGCTTTGATCGCTCACCAACACGGGCAATCCGGGTGTTCACGCGCGACTTCCGCCCGCGCGCCTCGCGCAATGGGTGTTTACCGAGGCAGCGTGCTCACTCGAGCGTGAACCTTCTCATGTACTGACACTTCATTGATAATTTGCATACGCGGCCGGCGTCCTACGAAAAACGTGGAATAAGTGCGCAGAGACGAACATTTGGACGGGTCAAAGGTCTCGAGCCGCGACCGAATTCGCACACGGAATGTGAAATTTGACGGAACGACTCGAGGCATCCGTCGAAATACGCCGCGCGCTATCGGTTGCTGTCGATGTAGCGAAAATGTGTTTGAAGTAAATAGAATATCGACTTGGCTCCAAGTGCATTCATGCAGAGCGCCGCTTTTACCGTCAAAAGATTGACCTTGCATGATTTTCGTACATAAAGCGGATTCTCAGCGGTGCAGAGTATTTCGTACGTATGTATAAAGAAAGGTACGCTTGAAACGATACCAAAGAAAAACGTTGGAAAACATTGTTCGAGAAAACAGTAAAGGCGACCTATTTAACTATTTGTTCGTTTATTCGCTTCTTAAACTTAACTGCAAATAATGTTTAATGGCTGTGCAAGTACCATTTAACAGAGCAAACAATGTTGGAATTGATTACTCTGATGCTATTATCGACGAAGTATTTAAAGGAATTTTACAAAAGGTGTATATTTTCGAATAATTAAACGCAAATTAAATTACACCTCGAAATTACGTTTTTTTGTGTAAATATTAGAACAAATTCAAGAAAAACTCCTACTAAAAAATGTATACAAAAGTTTTGTAATATTTGAATATTAAAAAATATCTTCTTTAAATGTACAATAATAACGCTGTTAAATTACGAATAATGTGTGGCAATTTTAAATGATTTCTATAGCACTTTTTATTGATTTAGATTTCTTTTTTTATTTCAAAAAATTTAATGTATTTAGCAGATAAGCAAGCGCAAAGTTCAAAAGTATTTTTCAAATAATAACACTGAAGTAACGTTGCTGTAATATTCGTTACCTAATATCTCGTTGTCTTACACGAAAATTTGTCAATAATCTTTCGCGTCGTGACTACCCACACAAATCGCGGAGATTAATTATTCCTTGAAGCGATTAATCATAGAAGATCAATGGTGCGCACGCCTAACATTCACAGCTGAACAAGCAGATTGGCTTAACCGGTTCCCACGGCGGAGCGATGAGTTAGTTTGCAAGAAATTCCCGTCTCCCGTGAAACAGGTGGGCATACCTGTCGCGGAGAGGAAACCGGGGCTCGACGCGGCAACAAAATGTCGTTCTTACGACATCCGTCGTGGCCCACACAAAACACGGGGACGCGGTAGGCCAGTCAATGCCGAGCGACGTACGCGGACCCACGTGGGCAGTGACTAATCGCGATCCGTAAACAGCGGATTGTCGAATGTAAGCGCGGCCGAGAGAGCGTAGATATATCGCAGCGATACCGCATCGAGCAATCTCGATACCGATAATGCCGCACACGCTCCGCTGCCACGCGATTAATGCCCGCTGTCTCGTCCAAGACGATACCTGATGTAAACGCCGGGCCTCGTGCTCTCCACGAGTCGTGCACGGGTTAGCTATCGATATTTAAGGGACGATTCGAACCAGGGCGTTTTGACGTCAGCCGACGTTCGCTTACGTAAGTCCGCGCGGTCACGTTGAAGGAGGGAACCCGGGATGAATAAAAGCACCACGAGGAGTAACTATTAACATCAAATTTGTTACGTCAAACGCTACCGGTTCGCCTCGGATAATTACAACTTGCGCGGATACATTGTTTTGCTTTTCTTGAACAATTGTATAAATAGAATCGTGGAATAATACGAGAGATACTAAAGTGTCAGAATTTCCTAATTAAACGTGGAAAATATGGTATATTGTACTCAAAGTTGTAATTTTTTAATAAAAGCACCTTGTATCAACCATCGTTATATTAACATTCACAGTTTACTGAAGGAACAAAAGCAAGAGACTCACCGGCACCTTCCCGTTGGCGTTTACGGTGTCGTTGTTTTCCAACAACGGCGCGCTGCTGCTCTTGCCGCCCATTTCCACGGTTAGAGGTTCTGGTTTCAGCTGGAGGCTAGCCGCGGACGGAGAAGACGGCGCTCGGGGCGGCGTTTCAAGCAGCTCGCCCGAACTCAGAGAACTGCTCGCCGTGGTAGACAAGCCTGTAATGAAAAAGTTGAACAGCTTGGATTAGAATTTATAATATACAAAAATAAACTAATGCAATATATGGTCCTTCTAGCGAGATTTTTTAAACTGGATTTACACGGTATATTTTCAAAATAAACGAATCAAATGCGGTAATAAGAAGGAAGAAAGCACAAAGATAACAGTCTAACATGATACGCAAGAGGAAAACTCGGAAGGTATACGAACGCTACTCACATAACGGTAAATTCGTAGGTCGAAGCGCCTTGATCCTCGGCAAGGAGTCATCGAGGCCGCTACTGCTGTCTACCGCGTCCTGCGAGTACTGATCGTCGTTCAGTTTAGTTTGCGTGTGCACACTTTCGCGTTTGACCCACACGTCTTGCGAGTTCTTGTCGTTTCGCGAGTTTAATTTCGACGGCCGTCGCCGGATTCGCTCCCATGTCTCTTTACGATGACACTTGTTTGGTGTTAACGCTACGCAGGAAACGACAAGCGCAATGGAAATTTTAAACAAATGTCACAGATAATCGCGTTAAAATGTACTGAACAGCAAAATAATTTTTTAATAATAAAGTATAATTGTGGATAGACGTGATTATAAATTGATAAAAAACATTATCGTTGGTTAAATTTCAAAAAATAAAGAATATAAGTATAGCATATATTAACAGCAGGATATAAATATAATTGTAAAGTATAATTCTTCAAAGAGAAATAATTACAGAGAAGGTAATGAAAACCGAAAGCGTGGTCGGAGCTAAAATATAAAGAATATTTTTATATTTTCCATGTAAGCTAAATCTTTTTCTTCTTTTTTTCTTGTATTTTATCAAAATAAAGGTTAATCTAAAATTGTAGCCAAAACGTTTTTGTACTTAATAAGAGTTAATAATTTTTGCGCTTTGACAACTACGCTTTTAATTCTTCTCGCCTTCTCTGTTATTGCTGCATAAATATAGCATCTAATTTTCTTCATTAAAAAGTGATAAAATACTATTATCTTACGTTTAACTAATCGTCGATCCGTACTCCTGGGAGGGCTCGCCGTTCCTATCCCGCTTTCAAGCGGAGATGCTCTGTCAGTGGTATCCGGCGATAGACTTCCGGAGGAAATCTCGTCCATGCTCTGCAGGAGATCCTGCGACGATGATGAGGATCTATTGTCGTCGTCCACGGTGTCTTGGGGAGAAACTGGGTCTAACGTGCTCTCATCTTGTAACGACTGCGAATCTAATTGGGACTCGGCTGCAATAAAGAGAAATGTGATTTAACAAACTATAACTAGATCTATACAGTATCAATCAATCAACCATCTGCGTCCATTGAATTATGTATATTAAATTTCACGACGGTGTTTTACAAATAATGTTCTGTAGAACAGTAATATTATATTGAAATAATTTCTTTGGATCTTCCGCGCAATATATTCAAAGAGAATTATTTTAAATCTTTAGTCACATATTTGATAAAAACAATTTCTTAATATATTTTTAAATTAATTAATAATGTAAATAAGATACATGTATCTTTTTATGTTCCATTAATTTTCTACTCTCTAAAAAGGTTTTTCTTTATTAAAAAAGATCATAAATAAAATATGTATAAAATAATAAAAGCTAAATTTTATTTTATTATCCGAAGTGGATTTTAATGAGCCCGCAGGGCAAGCAGAAAGTTAATTCAAACGTAAATCATCGATAAACGCGGGATCCTCGAAATAGTCGAATGCGGAATTACGGAGAACTAGAACGGAAATAAATTTCACAGGTGTTAACTAATCCCATGAATATATATTAAGAGCAGCATAAGCAACAGCGTGTGTGGGATAATACGAAAATTACCTTGGGGAGATTCGCAATCGCTGACCCAGGTGAAGCTAGAACTCCTCGAAATTGCGGGCGAGGTTTGAGTCGCTATATCGGAGCAGGTGAGAGAGTCCATTGGCGGGCTGTTCGGGCAACAGGAGCCCGAACCATTTCGAATCCTCGACAACAAGGATTGGAGGGAAATAGGCAGCTGCGAGTAAAATAAAAAATAAGCTAAATCAGACTTTCTGTCTAAATTGTCTTTGTAATAAAAATTTCACGTCTGTTGTTCCAAAATAACTTGAGAAAAATTGCTGTTTAAAAGTACTATAATAAATTATATCAAATTAATTATTATATTCAACCACTTAATTTATGATTAATAATTCGTTAAATTTTAAGCGGTGGATTATTTAATTTACATTTAAATGTTTGATATTATTGATTTAATTAACAATCAATAACTGTTTAAATATAATATTCTTTCATTATAATTATCTAAATGTTTGTAATTTTGTTAATATTGTATTACGATACAAAAAGATTGGAAAATATATAAATTAATACCGGTAATAATTAATGGCAAAAAATCAATACTGAAACTTACGGATCCCGCTCGGGCGTTTTGTTCCTCCATAATCCTCTTCATGTCGGCGTGATCTAACTTACTGAGAGTTCCGTTTTCGATCCCGCAATTTCCATTGATGTCGTCGTTCTTGGGCAAATCGCAATTCACCGCGACGTCATTTCCCCACGGCCGTATCAGCGAGAACTTCTTCAAGTCTACTGGACTGATCCGTCTGATATCTTTATCCGATTCCGACAATCTCTTTGCAGTGATGTCAGAACGCAGAGTCAGCGGTGATATCGCTCTCTTTTTGGTCAACGCTTCTTTCATCTTGCTGTTTCTCGTCTCGTGGAGCCTGTCGTTTCTCAAACGCAGCAGATCTTGATCTGGCAGCGAAGATACGCTAACCAGGATAACATCGTCGGTGCTTTCATGATACACCGGGGCGTGCCGCTTTCTTAACAATTTCGAAAACGGCGGTTTCTTCTCCTCCGTCGGCGTCACAGGCGCCGATTTCGGCACGTGGTTGTCTAAGGATCTGGATCTGCCGGTCTCGTCGTTCGGAAATACGTCGTCGTAATCGGGATCCATGGTCTCTTGATCATCCGAGTTTTGCCGGAGTCTTTGAAGTCGCGTCGCTTTCCTACGCTTCTGTATCGTCAGACTGATCGGGAGGCTTATCTTCCGCTCGGATCGTTGTCGGGGCGGCAACTTCGCATTGGGCTCTTCGGCGTCCTCGACGCTTCTGAACGCTTCGGTTCGCGGCGCTCCGTCGACGACACTAGTGTCTTCATTGGTCTTCGTGCTTAATTCTACGGGTGTCTTTGGTGCTCGGCAAGGGTTCAATCGTGCGTCTTTCGTGGCGCACTCGCGCTCCAGCTTCGACGGTAGACTAGAGGTGATCCGATCGATCTGGTTTCTGATCGAGTTCATCGGTAGGCAGTTGCTGGGCTCGTCGTAATCGGAGCTCAGAGTGTCCGAGGTGTGAAATCGGCCGCGCTTGCCGATGATGTCCTGCAGATTCTCCGGCAGGCTGCCGCTCTTCCTCTCCTCGGAAACCACTCGATCGTGCGGCTCGTCGTAATCCGAGTTCAACAAATAGCGACAATCATCGTCGACAAACAGCTTTCCATTCCTGCGATCGCGAAGACTCTCCTCGTCTCGAAGAGAATCATGTTCGCCGCTGAATCCTTGAGAATCGGAATTCTCGCTGTCGGATATCCCGAATTCGTTCAGCAGCTCTTTGTACTGTACCACTTTGACGTCGTCGTTGCTGCGCGTGGCTTCCCTCCTCGCCCTCTCTTTGGTCAGCTCGTTGATCTCGTTCGCGATTATGTTATTGAACTCCGACCAGTTGCCGATGTCCTCGCTGCCTCTCGTCAACGAATTTCGTCTTTTCTTTACGGAGCCATGCGATTTCGTGGCAGACAAGGATTTCGGGGCAAGCGACTCAATCGTATGACTCGATAATTTCTCGGGTAAAGTCCGGTACTTTGGTTCTTCTGTGATGCAAATTGGAGTCGCCGGAGCTGACTCGATTATTTCGCCGATTTCCTCCTGAAAACAATAAAAAATTTAAAACGTTAACAATATTATTATTATATCAGAAACAGACTCTTGAACGATATATTTCTCTAACAAGAACATTGCGCTAAAAGAAATGAAGAAAATAAAGAAATAGAATATGACATTGTGCTGTGAGTTAGCTAGGAAAGGCTTCACGAGAGGCTGCCATCGCTAAAACGCAGAGGCTGCCCCTCGATCGACGAGACTAAAGACAAGCTTGCAAAACCCTATCGACGATAAAGCACTAACCTTTACGCGGGTATTTCGCGCGTACAGTCAGCCAGCAGAACGTATTTATAAAGTGGCGCATAATAAAGCGGTTATGAGAGAGGCTGGCAGAAACTAACGCGGTCCTTGATGCTCGTCATGCGAAATAAAACGAAGGAGTCGGCCAGCTGCCGCGACTTAAGACGAGCCGATTTCAAGGTGCATCTCTCCCCCCCACATCTCTCTTTCTTTCTCTCTCCTCTCGTTCTATTTATCTATCAATCGCGTCCCCCGTGCCTCTTCAAGGCATTCTCGCACGCTGTCATCGTGAGTCACGCATGCATCCTAGGCGCTGTAGAATGCGCTTGATATAAAGAGCTAAAGTATGTAAGACTCATTCTGCGCTTAAACAGATATAAAATAGTGTTGATTAAATTTGATGATTCAAAAAGACCGAGAAAAAAGCATGTGAGCGTCTGCATTTATATTTCACGCTTCGAGCACCACCAATGGAACCTTAATTGACGTGTTGTAATTGTAAACGACAATGAGAGAAATAATTTTTGCAAGAGCGATTATGTGCAAAGCTTGTATGACACGTGATTTTTGGACATCCTCTAAATGATTGTAATACGCCGAAGTCATCGGCGCCGATCCCGACTGGCTCTCTTTCACCGCAGGCGGGCTAAATTGAATTTGCATAAGTCTCTCGATGCAGCTCGCTCAACAACCCACGCGATCTCGACCGCGATTTACGCCACGACCAGACGAAACTAACGCTTCGATCGTCGATCGACGTATCAAATTGTACCGGACGGAAAGAATAAGCTTGATTAAATCGAGAAGGATAAGACGATTTGCATTCCGGTCGAGAATACAGATCTCAATGCTCAAGACGCACATCGGAGAAATATAAGCATCGATGAGGAATGTAAGCGGCATCGGTAAGAGATAAAAAATGCGGAAAGAAGAGTCTTCAATCAAAGTCCTGCACGGTAGAAAATAATTATGGAGACTCGTGGCGTCGGTAAGAGGAAGCGAACGGAGGAGTCGTCTAACCGCAACGTAAGGCGAAACGCAACGGTTTACCACGCGCGCGCGTATGAGCGAGCAAAATTTATAGGCTGTCGCGCATATTTGGTATGCAAACCGTCGGTGCGGGCAGTTAGCCTAAGCAGCGGGCTTAGCGAAACTCATCAAGACAGCGGCGCGCAACGTCGGCGCGTAAGATGAACAGCCGCGAAGATAAAACGGAGGAGGTCCCGAGGATATCCAGTCGGTACGATTGCGTCCAGCTGGGCGATCAATCATCGCGCACGAGCTTCCCATTGTTCCTACACGCGGGTGTTACATTGTGCGCCGCGGGCTAATGGCCGCCTCGCGCAGGATACCGGAATATAACTGTCTCGAACGTGTCAACCCGTTTACTATCGACGACTAATCTCGCGGCTTTGATACACCTATCTATCTTCGGGGACTAATCCGCCCCAACAGGTTAATCCCGGCGTCGGTGGATACGCTTGTAATGCAATTATGAACTCGTCTCGGGGATAATCCGGCCGTAATCGTTAACAATGAATACGCTCGAAAGCTTGACCTATGCGCCACGTGAGTTTCACGCAAAAATTGTAATAATAACTATCCAAACTATAAAACAATTTTTCCAAATTCGAAAATTGTTTTAATTCTCTCTGATTTTTATCAATAATTAATTGCACTTGATTTTATATCGACGCGAATGTATAAAAAAAAAATAAATAAATAAAAGAATATTACTATTAAATTTAACAATATTACCAATCAAATATATTGCCAAATTAGACTAACAATTCTTAATCATCGTTTCATTCAGTGGAAATTTCCTTTCAATTTATATTCTACAATATCGAGGCTACGTTATCGAGCTTTTTTGCTTTATTAGAATATCGTCTCTATTTCGTTATATATCACAAGTTGGACGCATCGCTCTGACAGCGGGTTAACAAAGCAACGAGTTGCTTGCGCGTCCGATTGTTCACGCGAATCTTAATCGCCGTAATTGTTGATGGATCGAGTGCAACGTTTCCGTCGAAGGACGCGGAAGCGCGCGCGTGAATCGTCTTGATTGGGATCGCGTTTAATCTCTGCTCTCTTGCTACGCCTACAATAGCGCGCGGCCATCGCCACGATCGCCATGTGCTATTCTAATATTCTCCATCCATAACGCCCTGGCCGGTACATTTATCAAGCTGATATTTATGTGAAAGCACGCACGTCGCGCTTTTAGCGGTGCACTTTCTTCCTGCTCGAGATAGCTCTCGTAGCGCAATGATTAGACGAGCGAGCGCGTCTGGAAAATTTTCTCTCGCCTCCGCGTGGGCCGGTCGCTGATGATAACGACAATCAGCGAGATTGACGTTGCGGGAAGACAATAAATTAACACTCGCCGGCCGCCGATTCGCCGCAATATTGATAGCGAAAATCGTTCAGCGAAGATGTTATTTACAGTTTACAAGCGCAAATTAGAAATGCAAAGTACACGTTTAATTGACTAATATAATATAAAAATAAATTTAATATTTTAATCTTAATTTTTCTAATTATTTAACAATTAAAATGCAAAATAACATCTTCATATATTACAACAAAAATAAAATTCCTCTCCAGACTTTATTGAGCGAAAGTGACTGATGACGAGAAAGAAATCTCGACAGTTATGTAGTTTTCAATGATAGGAAAAAGACGAAGTCGGAAGATTTTCCCATACGTCAACAATAATTGCAGAATGCCAAACTGATCAATCACTTGTCGAACGATTAATTTGTGGCCGAACGAATCAATTAGCGAATAATGCGAAGTAACCTTTCCGATAGTAAACATGCGATTTCACCGCGCGCTGTGCACGCTGCGTCTAACATCCACCTTAAAGCAAGAAAAGTCGTCAATCCGTTCGGATAAAAAAAAAATTCGACAAAAATATCGGCGTCGCTCGTTATGCGGAGAAGTCTTGTCGCGTGTCAAAGTCATCGATGCATCCGCCGAGTGTGGGCAGTATGCATGCCGCGACAGTTCTCTAGTCATCCGCAGAATTTAAATTAATATTTAAATTGCAAATGATAAATCTTAACATTTTTGACGACGTAATGAACGTAATGGCGTTTTTAACTTTGTTGTTACATTACTTTATTTCTTACGCTGTTTATTTTAAATATACTTTATTTATATTCCATTTCCTTTCTTCTTCGCTCGAGCGAAAGATTATTATGTATATGCATTATTGTGTGAAAGTTATTCATCTCTTCCCGAAGTAAGAAGTTTGAGAACATTGTACGCGAAAACTTCTTGATTAATGCTTAAGAAAGTATCCGTAAATTTTAATTTTAATATTCACGAGAAATTTGTTTACTTATCGTCTTAAATCTGAGGTAATCTAAAGATAATTTTTTTAATTATTAAATAAAAATTGCTAGTTTGAAATATTTTCGTATGAAAGTGCAAACAAGTACAAGTTAAAAAAAGCGAGTCCTGTATCTTCGATGTCTACCCTCTTTCATCAATTTTAATTAAATTAATTTCCCGTTGAAATATTATCCAGCGTTCTGTATACATAACACGAAATAATCCCACAAAATTGTGCACTAAAAGGTAAAATGTATTAATTAGCGCAGGTCGTATGACTGAGTGCATCGCTTTGACGCGAGATAGTTTCGTCCATTGTGCGGACTTAATTGATTCGAAACTTAATTAAGCCGCCAGCCGGGAAGGCTTGAAAGTCATTCGGTGAGTAAAAGATGATCAGATCAAATTAAACCAACGTTTTAATCGTCCTATAAATAGTGGCTCGTGCCCGAGCGATAGATCGCATTTCACTTCGGCGAATCGATTGCGCGGATCTTCTGTTAGCAAACCGACAATTTTCGCTCGCGTGCCATTTAATCCGTACGCGGTCATCCAGCTGGTTAATTAATCGCAATGATTGCTAATTAACGCCTAGTGACTGCATAAATCAGACGAACTTCTACAGCGGATGGTCCGTCTCTGGAATCGAGTTCAATCAGTTGCGTAATGATCAGCGATTTATAAAATTGCACATCGTGCTATTTGATCCAGGAATCTTTTGTATTTCGCCTTCTTTCTCGCCACGACACGCGCATGAACGTACGGTGTTAATTAATTGACTTCTCAATCGCGTTCGCATTAAACGACACGCTAATGCGAGAGATTTACCATGGCATTAAACACGCGAGGCCCGAGATCGATACGCCGAATGAAATGTGACCTATCGATCGGATAGAAATTACTATTTACGCGTTGATCAACTCGTTCCGCTGATCCTATCTGATCCTATCTTCCCACATACCTATTTATCGGATAGCCCGGGAATTCTCACCAGCCAGCTATTAATTAATTTTCCGCAACGATCGTAATATTTTATGTCGTCATATTATCGGGTATGAATTTCTCACTTTATATCGCCTCGATTATCGGTTTTCCCACTAATACATAAATAATGTTAATCTAATGGTAAATAAAAATGCGGAGCATTTGTTCAATTATTTTTTAAGGCATAAATAATTAAAACGAATTCTGTTAACATTGAGATATTCCATCAAGAATGTACAATATTACAGAATATTTATGTGCATGAAAAATATCATATTTGATATCCATTCTTTTTTTAGTTATTATTCTTTTCAATTTCTATTATTTTAACAAATATTACTAATTTTTTATTACTGCACGCTTGCTACATGTGGTAAACATGGTTTATAAATTATTTATATATGTTACCATGTTCTGCCCAA